GGAAGTAGGTCAGCTGCTACGTATTGGGTAGTCGAGGCCCGCTGGGCTGACCTAGAATATCTTAGATAACAAGCCTTATTCAGCACAAGCATTTCAATCGGAAAAATTGCTGCAAGATGCGGTTGGTCCGTCGCACATGTCGTTGGCTTCCCTTGCTTGTCGGCTACTCAAGATTGAGATCAGACCCAGATGTAAAATCCGTCAGGGTAGCAAATCCACATGCGCCGCTTCGCCCAGGCTGCGCGGCGGCTGGGGAATCAAGTCCGCAGACGCAGAAACTGCGTATTCTGGGGGATGGAATCAGGAAGTTGCCCTAGGTCTTTTCTTTCTTACCGGCCATCCGCTCGCCAAACGGCATATCCCGTCGAATAGGCATGAATAAGCTTCCCACTCACTGAGTCGTCTAGATCTGTCATAGCTTCCAGCAAACGGATATGGCTCCAAGTTGTTTCGCTTCCATCATCAAACCTTGCAGGAAGTGAAAGGGAGTCAGGACAGTCTTATTTCCAAGCCAAAGACGGTCTCTATTTTGCTTCCCTAAGCATAAAATAAATGCTCGTGTCTGCCGATCCGTAGTCCCACTTGGGATCTAGTGTCAGTTTGTCAATATCTCGGAAGTCGAATTTCTGATACAAGCCGTGGGCGGCAGGAGACGATTCAAGGTACGTAGGGAGGTGCAGTTCGTCGGCGATGTCAAGGCCCCATTGTATCAACTTTCCTCCTGCACCACGTCCCTGGTATTTTGGATCCGTCTGCAGGAGGTCAAGTACTGTTTGTGTCTCCTCAGTTAAGGCGTACGAGGGCGGCCAGTCCGTGCAGAGTCAACTCACAGCAATATGCCTTGCCACCCATCAGGTCGTTTCGTTTCCTGTGAATCCCGCCGAAGAACTCCTCGCAGGCGTCGACGTTGCATCCAGGACCAAAATGTCGACCCCGACTCGGCTCTCTAGGTTCCTTGATGATGTTCCACTTCGCAAACGCGGCAATCTCGCCAGTCTCAGTGTCGAGCGCCTTCACCCATCGGACGGTTGGATCTTCGTGGAGCTGCTTGATGAGGCCTTCCGCACGCTCATCCTTGGCCTGCGGTGGGAATGGTCCCGGGAACAGGATAGGCTGGAGAGGGTTCGAGGCATAGGCGAGACGCTCGATCTCTACGATGCGAGGAGCATCAGCCTCATCGGCGGGCTGAAGAACGAGAGGCATCTCGACAAGATAATGCTCTCAGGAAGAGGAGTCGAGAGGAGAATGTGAGTAAAAACGCTTTCATCGTTACGGTTGAGATGGAGTTATGTGTCGCATTAAAGATTGCTGCCTAGTTTGTTTGGAGAGTTTTCCTGTGGATCTGCAGGGCCTCGTAGATATGGAGGCTGATGCTACCTTACCAAACCGGCCTACCTGGATATCACATACGTATTTTCCTGTTTACAACTGCTTTGACAGTGTTAGCTTCCATGTGAATGAGTCAGACCAACCCCCGCGGAGGTGCTGGAAGCTCCCGAGGCCGAACAACCCATCGAGCCAAACAACTTGCCAAACTGCGCCAAGTTGACCGGAGACTTGCTATGTACCCCTCGACGCGGCAAGCCACCCACCAGCTCAGCTCCCTGAGTCCTTACTAATGCATTTCTGCCCCTCCCTTACTTGTCTCGAAGAGGAAGTCACACATGTCATCGCGAACCACAGAGCTAAGCCTGTTCCTGGATGACTGTTTCGCGCGTGGAGCGACGACCGCATCCCGTTCAGCAAGAAGCTGGGCGATTCTGTGTGAAACAATCCCTGAGAGTTCAGGAAGTACCGAAAGCGAGTAGTTGCCTAAGAGAGTCGTTGTTGATGGCGAGATCCTGTCCTTCTTTGTGCATGATGGCCGGAAGCCCCAGCCAGAAGCTGGGCAGAGCAAGTCTCAGAATCTGTGTATAAAAAGGTGGGAGAAGCCCCGTGGTAAATTCATGACTATATGTGAGCAGATTCGCACCAAACATTCTCAAAGAAGAGCACACTCAGTATTATCCTACCCAGCACCCCGATAACCGACACAAGAACAATGTCAGCAAGCAGATTACCCAGCACAATGCGTGCCCTTTTGCACAACCAGAAGAAGCAGACTCTAAGCCTCGCCTCGACTGCTCTCCCGACTCCATCCTCGACGCAGTACTTGATCAAGTCACACGCCGTGGCCCTGACAGCAGGCGAACTCCTCTGGCCTCGCCCGGAAGAGCTCACCATTTCGACGCCCGGCGTGGAATTCGTCGCGGAGGTGGTCGCTTCTCCATCCTCTGGCTCCAAGTTCAAGCCAGGAGACGAGGTCTATGGACGAGTCACTTACCCGCAGGCCGGAGCTGCAAGGCAATACTCAGTCTCCGACGATAGCGAACTCGCCCTTCGTCCCAAGAACTTGTCCGTCAACGAGGCAGCCACCATGCCAGTCGGCGCCTTGACCGCTTGGCAAGCGTTGTTTGAACAACTCAAACTCACTCCTCCGACCCTGAACTCTGCAAGGGCCCCGATTGAGCAGCAGCGTATCCTCATCACCAACGCTTCTGGCGGCGTCGGAATCTGGGCCGTCCAACTCGCCAAACTGATAGGTCTGTACGTGATCGGCACCACGGGCCCCAACAACATCGACTTTGTCCGCTCTTTGGGCGCAGACGAAGTCCTCGACTACCGCACGACGAATATCCGTTCTTGGGCCGAGGAAGATCCGGCTACACGCAAGGTGGATTTCGTCTTCGACTGCATCGGCCTGTCCTCGCTGGACCAGGCGTGGCATGCAGTCAAGCGGGGCGGGCAGCTCCTGACCATCGTCCCACCGGCGGATATGCAGTGGAAGTTTCTCCTGGATACTCCTGCAGGCGTAGACGAGAGCGTCACTGGAAAATTCTTCGTCATGCATCCCTCTGGCGAACAGCTGGGCAGGATCACCGAGTTGGCGGAACAAGGGCGAGTGCGGCCCGTGGTGGACAGTGTGTTCAAGCTAGACCAGTTTGAGAAGGCATTTGAACGCTTGGGCAGTGGCAGGACTAGGGGGAAGGTCGTGTTGAGAATTGATGACGAGGACTAAGGAATCTCTTTTGTTCTTTGGTGAAATTGTTCTAGGATGGCGGACTGCAATTTGTAGTTACAACGAGAAATCGTGCTTGATAATGTCATATATATTCTTGTAGTTATTGAAGACTCGCTGACTAAAACCTCCTGATGCCATTTCACTTTAAATCTTTTATATATATACTGCTGTCACACATATGATGTATGCAGACGCGTCTATTCGTAAAAGACTAGTGATCGCACTTCTATACTCTGTCTTCCAGGCGCGCCTGCAGGTGTCTGCGGATCCACAAAGGCAGTATGCGGCGTGTAACCGGCTATGCCCTTCTTGCCACCATTGACTTCGCTGGCCGAGTCGAAACACTTGATGAGCATGACCTCCTCGGGCGTCATGTCCTTCATGTAGAAGAACTTGTGTTTGTCGTTTGGCCGGACGGCAAAGGTTTCACCCTTGACCTCATAACCGGCAGTGGATGAAGCGGAGTTTGGGTCAGGAAGAACCTCCTTGCCCCGGTCGTCATCGTCGTGGACACCATTGGATTGCCGTTTGGGGTAGAGCAGATCAACCTTGATTAGGTCGGAGGGCTCGGTTGTTCGGTAATCCACGACGCCGAGGGGAAAGTCGGACGCTGGGTGTGCTATCGGACGCCAGATGTTGATGATCTGATAGCGGCCTTTTAACAACTCCTCTGCCTCTTCTGCAGGTAAATGCCTGCGCACCCGGACGGCGGCTGCGTTGGGCGTCTGGTCGACGTGTACTTGCTGAACAGGTTGGCGCGGGGAAGCCTTTTCTCTTTTTCTAATGGTATGATCAAAGAAGACCACTTTCTTCACCCCGGGTAGCTTCTCTCGTAGTAGGGCCTCTACTTCGGCATAATACCCTTCTCGAACCTTTGCGTCGTCTGTGAAAGCCTTCTCTTTCGCCGGGTATTTGTACACCGCGAAGCCCGAGGTGTCAACGGAAAACTTGGATTCCTGCCCGCGAATGTTTTCCACCGACCGCTCACGATCGGTCATTTTAAACGAGTAGCCAGGACCATCGACCTTGCTCCACGGCTTCACGAAAGGGACGTCGCTGTCGACATAGGATGAGGGATCGATGTATTTGAAAACGCCAGTCGTCATATTGACGGTGCGAGGAGCGCTGGAGCAGAAGAAACGAGGATTGGGACAGGCAAGGCGTCGAGTAGAAGAAGCAGCAGCGTGCGACAGGTTCCTCGCAATTGAGGAAGATGCCCGGATAGTTCTGAGAGGAGAGACTGCGTGCATACAGAGAAGCGTCAGTCGCGAGTTGAGTTGTATCTGAGACAACGACTTGATCAGGTCACTATGTTCTTGGAGTGGGGAGTATACCTCGGGAGAAGAGTAGTCAAGTATATTTATCTGACTCGATTGACCTTTGAAATTGTCAGCAGCAGAAGCACATCGAAGACAAGATGACGTTGAGAAATAGAGCGTCGATTAGGTATGAAAGATCGTCCCGCCCATGCCTGTCAATCCATTCAGTATTGATATCCTAATAGATTTTACTACAGTTCCGATGACGCGAGAGGTGAGTGCATTGTTTCGCCTCATCTGATATTGTCTTGATTTCAAAGGCAGCGGAGGGAGATCGGAGAAAGCCTCGGGAAGAATTCCATATCTGGAAGTGACTAAGCGGGACGTCATACCTTGGCGCCTGGCATGCGATTGGCTGTTTGATTCACCCCGCCATCTCCGCCAATATCGCGCGAAACGCGTCTTGCTTGAATTTCTCGCTCCCCCTTGTCGCGTCCTTGTCAAGGCAGATGTTGCTGTGGACCCCTTTTGTACTGAGGGACATTCCGGGCGCAGGCAGTTGAACGACAGACACAGTCACTGCTTCGTGATAAATCTTCTCCGGCCATGTCAACCTAATTGTCAACCTTCATCCTGTCCTATCGCTGCCCCTTTTCCATCCCGCTACGAACAAGTTGAAAATGGCGGACAGGGAAATCTATTCAGCGACGTACAGCAATGTAGGGATATTTGTGCCTGTCCCTTTGTTATATCAGGCAAGACTGACATGTGACTGCAGGTTCCCGTCTATGAGCTCAAGGTCGGTGGCGACCATGTTATGCGCCGCAGGTCCGACAACTGGGTCAACGCTACACATATTCTGAAGATTGCTGGGTTTGACAAACCAGCGCGGACCAGGATCCTCGAACGTGAGGTGCAGAAGGGTGTCCACGAGAAGATTCAAGGCGGTTATGGAAAATACCAAGGCACATGGGTCCCTCTGACCGAAGGTCGGTCGCTGGCTGAGAAGCATGGTGTGCTGGATCGCACTGCCCAAATTTTCGACTTCGTCCCGGGTGATCGAAGCCCACCTCCTGCTCCCAAGCATACCACCGCTGTCTCAAACCGTCCCAAGCAACCGAAACAGCCTGCCGTTCCACGCAAAGTTCCGTCGCAGCAAAGTAAGTATAGACACACTCCGTCAGAAAATGCTCGCCAACTTTCCGTAGCCCAACATTACCCACCTGTGGACGGCTACGAAAGCGCAAGTGTACATTACAATGGGACGGAAAGTCGAGATCACTCTCCAGAGACTGCTTCATTCATGGCAGAAGACGACTTCCTTCCGCTTTCACAAAATTCTACTGCTTCGAGAAAGCGAAAACGAGATTTTGAAGAAATTGCTCCCACTGCATCAGACCTCGAACATACCATGTATGGCGATGAGCTGTTGGATTATTTTGTTACGGCTGGTGATGACCCAGCTGCCTCCAATATCCTACCACCAGAACCCCCAACAAACTTCGATGTTGACAGGCCGATTGATAATCTGGGTAACAACGCGCTCCACTGGGCTTGCGCCATGGGTGATGTTGCGGTTGCACGGGACCTCCTCGCACGCGGCGCAAATCCCGCTGCCCAAAATAAGAGCTCACTTGAGACCCCCTTGATCAGAGCTGTCTTGTTCACCAACAATTACGACAAGAAGACTTTCCCAAAGATCGTCCAGGCTTTGGCTGGAACGATTGTGGAGCGGGACGCTTATGGAGCGACCGTCTTCCACCACATCGCCGAGTCAGCGCGCTCCAGGGGAAAATGGAGTTGTGCTCGGTACTATTGCGAAGTCCTGATCAACAAAATGCACGAAATGGGCTCAAACTACGTTCAAGCTCTCCTTACCTCCATTGACCACAATCACGACACCGCAGCATTATGCGCAATCCGCAATGGATGTGTCAAAGTCGCAACATTCCTCCTCAACCATTGCCCTGAAGCTGGAGACATACCAAACTTGAAGGGCGAGACTGCCAACGAGTATCTTAGAGCTCTTCGAGAGAAAAAGGAAAGCCTTCAACAGCCAGGCTCATCGCCCCCACGTGCTGGAGAGTCTTTTGCGGCTAAACAATCGCGCCGTAAGCGACAAAAGGAAGCTCTGTCCCGCGCTGCCTCTTTGGTGCTCGATAAGATCGTCCCTCTCATGGACGCGGGCAGCTACAAAATAGCCGACATGTACGATTTGCAGATATCGGAGCGGGACACGGAAATTGCAGAAGCCAAACACGCACTGACCGAGCTCGAGAATCAGCGACACAAGATTCGACAAGAGACCTTTTCGCTGATGGCCAAGGTCGAGGACGTATCCAAGATTCCCACATTGAGACAGGAATATGACGAATGTTTGCGCGAGGTGGAATCTCTCCTTGAACAAAAAGAACATGCGGCCCTGCAGAATGAGGTGTTCCAACAAGACCAGCAGACGAGTCCCGAGGCCTTCCGTTTCCCCAACACATCAGCACTGTCCCCTGATGAAATACGTGCGGTGGTGCCATGGGCAGTTGAGCTCAACAATCAGCAAAATCTTCGTCGACAGTGGGTCAAAGATATTGCCAAACTAATGAGTGAGGCGGGTGCAGGCGAGAAGGTTGGCAAACACAGAAAACTTGTGGCGATTGCTACCGGGCTAAAGGAGGATGAGCTGGACGACATGTCGGTCGAGTTATTGGAAAGTCTGCAGGGAAACCAGGCTGGCAATCCCCCGCAAACACCCCCTCATGCTCCGGCTGAGGTTCAAGCTTGAGTCGAGAGTTTCCAAAGAGTGATGAATGAGTCTTTTTCTGAATGAATCACCATGAGAATGATATGCTATCCACACATTATTCAGCGTTTTCGTTCTTGTTTCTCTTGTTGAAGTCCGTGTTGCCCGCTGTTCCGCATGATATCACTGAGTACAACCGTCCCCTGAGATTCAACGGGCCTGTAAGGGATATGTGGGAGGAGGAGATCCTGCGCTTCATCGCTATGGCCTGTCGGGATAGGATTCACACCCGACGACGGCGAGGACGCAACCAACAATCAGATTGGCGGGAAAACAGGGCGTCGGGTTCGTCGTGCGCGAACGTTCCGATGAGGCGGGAGGACGACCGCGTCGTAGGCAAATCGGAGGAGGGGCGTTCGCGCCAGCATTCGCTCGTGAGCGAAATAGGCCGGGGGGGGGGAAAACAGGCCGGACACGAGGTATCTGAGGTGACGGATATGGGGCGGGTCGCCGACAGGGGGGTCATCGCGGTGGTGTCCGGTTTGTCGATCGGGTCGTTGTCCAGCGTAAGACATCGGCGAGGGTGAAATACAGGCCGGAGACGATGGGCCTGAGCCAGGGGGATGGGACAGGTCGCCGACTGGGTGATATTGGCGGTGCCATCGACACGCATGTCCAGTTGTCTGCTTGTCGCCTATCAAATGAGATATCAAGTGGCCAAAAAACAGGCCGTACACTATGTCCTTGAAGCGGGAGGAATAGCCCGGGTCGGCGACAGGAGACAATCCAGACGGATATGGAGAATTTATGCCAGTATCCGCCTGTTGTCCATCGATTTGTGGTCATGGATGGACATGACGAAGGACAAAATTTCAAAAAAACAAAAAACAAAAAAAAAAAACAAAAGGTCTGTAGCTCATTATTTTGTCAAAGAGTAGAGAGTCCATAATACATGCATTTGTGCATGTCAAGCGCTGAAAATTCCTTTCAAGCTCCTCCATGTTTCCTCACCCATACCAGCTCATGTTTTCATGTCACCCTTTGAGTACATTTTGTCCTTTTTTTACAATTTCAAGTTCTGTATTTCCTTGTTCCAGCTCAACTCTTTCTTGTCACATTTGTGTCTCATCATGTGTGAGACCTCTCTTGTTTCATGCCCTATTTCCAGCCCATTTTCAACCCCCATTGCAATGTTCTCAGCCATGTATCTGTTTGTCGAACGGTGATGATGTTGATGTGATTGTGAATGTCATTTGTGAGTGATGTGAGAGGCGTATCTTCATGTTCTGTGTACCATATACCATGTTCCCTTTTCATGCTCTGTTGCACATGTGGACTCTGTTCGCCTCGAACGCCTCGAACGCCGGCCTCAGTGCTAGTACTGTCCCTCTTCATAGGTCTCTGGAATGGTAGAGATGGAATGTCCAACGTAGACGCTGGGAGATTGGTAGAGGTGTGGAGGAGGAGGATTGGCAGGACCCATGAAGCCATTGTGGTGTTGATTCTGATCAATGTGAGTCGGAGTCGGGGAGAAGATACCAGCTGGGAGCATGTGGCTCATGTTGTTGTAGGTCATGTTAGAGTGGCTTGGAGGAGTCATGGTGCCAAAACCGTACGCAGATGTTTGCTGCTGCGGAGTTCCATACATGGGTTGGGGGATTCCCTGATGATTGTACTGGACGGTTGAGGGTGGAGTGATCTGGTGGGCAGGCATGCAGTGAGCACCGCCGGCTTGACCATGGGCGCGGTTGTAGAATTCTGGAGTACCACCAACATTGTAGTTCATGTTATTTTGCTGGAAAGGATAGCTGCGGTTGGGGTTACCGTATCTGTGTCTGGGACCGGTATTCTGCTGCTGAATTCGTGTGTTTGGAGCCATGAGACGACCAGATGGGCGACGTGCAGAGTACTCCTTTTGTTCCACACGGAGCTTGAGGCCATGCAGGTAACGCTGTGAAAGTGACTGTTAGTTTGTGTGGTGAATTGTTTGCAGTGACGGGAATGACTTACTTCAGAACTGGCAGCGCGGTCGGCGTCATGGGCAGTGGCGAATTCGATGAATGCAAAGATGTTCACCGCGTCGTTCTCTGTTTTGTGCGTTAGATGGACACAGGAGGCGACATGTTTGACAATGATGGGACTCACCATAAGTCTTCTTGATGACGTTGACCTGGGCAATGGCACCAAACTCGCCAAAGAGCTCCTCAAGGTGAGCCCGGGTTGTCCCCTCTGGCAGGTTTCCAACGTAGATGGACTTCTGGTCAATGATTGACCGAGGATTGGAGAAGCCACCAACCACGGCGGCGCCGTCTGGGCCGATGCGGAAGCGTGGTTCAAGAGAAGGAGCCATGTACAGTTGGAGACCAGAGGTGTGGTTTTGGAAGAGCTGCTGCTGGGTCAGAAGGCTGGTCACCAACCACCGCGGCTCGAGCACAAACCACCGCGGCTCGAGCACATACCTTGAGAGCATCACGACAGTCGAGGTAGAACGCGAACTTGACATACATGCCATATCCTGAGCCACCGTGGCGTCGGTTTGCCATGTTGGTCGGGGCGACGAGCTCTAGAGGTCCGTAGCGTTCGAGGATTCCACGAGTTTCTGCCTCACTGACCATGGTGCCATCAGTCTTGCTGAGAATCACAGAACCTGGGTCATCGTCAGCCTTTGATGAATCCGAGTATGTGCGCTTGCGAACTCACGCTCTGCCTTGGCTTGTTCGATACGAATCTTTCTGCCATCTATGGTGAGTCCATATGCTCCGGCAACAGCCGCAGTGGCATCTTCATCTCTCTGTCACAGTTATTAACAAGATGATTTTGTTTCAGGCGGTCTTCTGCGCTTACCTGGAATTGGATGAACGCAAACGGGTGCTGGTTTCTGTCACGGCGGATCTTGATGTGATTCGGGCCGTAAGTGTCAAAGGTCTGATGGCAGGCAATCTCAAGTTGGTCCTCAGATCGATACTTGGAAAGACTAAAATGTGTCAGTACGCGCTTGTCTTGGGTAGAATTCTGTAAACTTACTTTGCCACGAAGATGAGTGCGGTTGGTGGGTAGAGACCTTGCGCGTTTGCGGCGGTCGGAACCTGATTCACACGATCTGGTCGCGGCACGAAACCGTTGTACCCAGCAGGAGCACGCAGATTGCTGATAATTCGACGAGCGACGGTGTTGACAGGGACGCTGCTGTTTGTAACAGGGCTGGGAGCCCCAAACACATCGTCTTCAGCACTTGGCTCGATCGATGTCTGGGTTGGTTGCTGGGCTTCGTCAACCGCGCTGTGGGAGTTTGCATCTTTCAAAGATACTGGTAGAGAGATTGAGCCTAGAAAATCATCAGAAGACTGTCAAGTTTCATCAAATTCAGGAGTGAAAAGGCGCCAGGTTGTCCCATTTGCCAGTGTGACCTGAAGGTGAAGGGTCAGAGGAGGACAAACCTTGAGCGGCAGGAGTGTCTTCGATACGATTCTGCCCGCCGTCGAGCTCGGTGTTTGCTGCGTCCTCTGAGATCATCTTGATCTCGGGATTTGGTGTGGAGGATGAGGAGCGAGGGAAGATGACGGGGAGAGTAGGGAGGATGATTCGGCGAGGAGGAGAGGATGAAGAGGAGGCAAGGCGGGACGCCATTGCTGCAGGCTTATCTGTTTCACAGCGATTGATATCAGTAGGGTTCCAGGTCAAATTTATAGGCTGAAGGAGCAGTGCTCACCCTGCAAACGGTTCTCTCTGACTGTAGTAGAGAGAGGAGAAGGGCGTTTAGCATTCGAAAATGCTGTAAACGAAAAGATAAAGGTGGGAATATAAAGAGGCAACAATTCAAAGTGAAGTGTGTTGAGATCGCGAGGGGTATCATGAATGAGGGCTTGGCATTCACCAGCGGTCACTCCGATTCTTAGTTTCGTTTCCTGAAGCTCACGGGGACGGCCTGTTTTTGGCCTCTCCATCTCCTTGCTTCTGGACCGCTTGTGCTCTCCAGGCGAACGCTTGTATCTGCGCCTAAGTGCCACATGCTGTTCATGATGGATGCCTCATCTCATGCCTGCTCAACTGGAGGATGTTTTGTCGGGAGCGGCCGAGCCCTCGGTATCATGCTGCTCGAGACCTCAACTTCATGTCCTGTCTTGAACTCCATCTGACTCCCTCTATTTGGAGCCAGTTTGTTCTTGAAACCCGGCGACACCTCTGTCAATGACAACCCACCAACACTGGAGGCTTGCAACTCCTCAAAGGCCATATGTCTAAGCACTTTGGAAGAAAGCTAGAGGTCACTAGCATATCACGCGCAAGTGTCGCCCAAACAAGCACCAAAGACGCATTCTGGGGACGATCTGTGTCTGTGTATGTCAGCAGTCTGTGCCACTTGAGGTGAGTGATGGCTTGCTCACAATGTTCTGGATGGACAATGACCAAAGCAGGCTGGAGTCACATCTCACTCTAGTGGTGCACCCGAAGTCTCTTCTTGCGCTCCCGTCATCTACCTATTCACCAGGAAAGGCGTGACGGGACAGCGACAGGGCACGAAGGCCACACACGCGATGCTGAGCAGTCAATAGCTTGATTGCAACTTGTCAGTGTCTTGAATGAAGGTGGTGATGAAGATGGAGAAGGGGAATGTGCGAAGAAAAGAAACCAACAATGAAAGAGCGGCAGAAGATTCACGACAAGACCTCAGCCTCGTGGTGATACACGCTAAGCGCTATTAGGAAATGTCGACCGCTTGGCTAGAGAATGAGGTCCAGATTGACTACAGCTAGTGCCGGAGTTTTACCGGCCGATCCCGAGGGCGGCAGTGGACTATTGGCGGACGAGAACGAGAGGGAAAAGCACAAGCACGTGCATACCCATGACGTTGAGCAAGCAGTTGCGAGTGTCACGCTACGAAGGACCATTGGGATCAATGCGATGGGCTCGTCATCTCCGAGATAAAGCCACGCGTTGCGGAAGAGGATAATGATGTTTGTTCCTACAGTTAGGCGCTGTGCGCCTGGCTTCTGGAAGAAAACAAGCCAGGAACTCGGAAGAGCAACGAAATTTGGTAAGTG